TGAAGATGTCTCCTCGAATGGTGACGAAACGTTTGCAAGTCAATTGCCAAGCTCGGCGAACAGATCAACAGCCACCTGATCAATTACCAACATTCGTCTCTACCAAATGACTGACTTTGACTAACGCATCACTCGTGGAACAGTAGAGTCTGAAGCCACATTAGTTGGTGGCTAAAGATGAAGTTACATTCGATATCAAGGAAGTTGTTCGTCCAAAGCTGACTCAAGAGCTCTTGGCATCCATTTGGCGCTTAGCTGCCCTGCAACCTGAAGAGAGGACGAAGACAGATACTATCAGGTTGTTCAGGTCAAAAAATCGAGCCACGAACCTTCTGTTCACTAGTTCTGCGCCTTAACCGCTGACCTATCCGGCGACGATTCGATAAGACGAAGGGTCTTTGAAATGAAATTCCAGGGACACCGTTACGGAAAAATGGGGAATATCTCACATAAAGTGGTTTGGATGTGTTGAGTGGACAGGAAAAAGCGAGCAGCCCTCGAGGAACCAGTTAGCAAAAGGGAGTCATGGAGGACAGGTAAACTGGCACGTGGTTAAGGGGATAAGGGGATCAAAAATTAAGTAAAGATCTTAATTCTTCCATGCATGCAGGAAGTTCGGAATCCCAAATGTGTAAGGCATTGGAGAGAGTGAACACGAGCAAAATTTGTGACACCTGAGGCGTCGATTGCAGCTTCGGGGTTTCGATAGTTAACCCGCCTTCCATACTTTGTAACCAAGTCTATCCACTCTGGTTCTTTCTGCTGTCCGAAAATGGCTACAAAAAGTCGTTCAACGGACATACAGAGCATGTGACCAAGCCAGCGCCAGTGTGATCAATTCACCTATCGTGGACAAATCATTTCTTCCGAAAACCATTCGACCTACTTCAGCCTTGCCCATCCAATGTTCTCACAAGACTAGGGCAGTGCTCTTAAGACAGCGGTGGTTAAGCGCTGAAAGATTCACAACATCCTTAGTGCGCAGCGGCCAGATTTATGACCTATATAACAATATGGAGAGCATTGCAGCATTGTAAACTCGATCACTTGACAGATAAACCGACGCCACACCTGCGCCACAGGTGATGCAGCTTCACAAAGGCCGCTCTCGCCTTCCCACTTCGGATGAAAATATTGGGAGGAAAAGTGAGCGGGAAAACCTGGCAGCACAAAGGCACGAAGAAACTACGTGCCGGAGGATGTCGCAGCGTAATCTGATGGATGAGAAGTTAAAAAAGTGACCAAGGGGTTGTTCAGTATCTGCGCCGTAGTCCAAAACGCAATAAGGAGAGTAGACAGAGTGAGTAGGAAGATGGTGATGGGAAAGAACTCGGCCTCGCAGAACCCGTATAGGAAGGAAACGGGAATCATTCCGGAAACTTTCGGAAAAGGTTCAGTTCATAGTTCAACACAACTGTTTAAAGTTGAAGGAGGATAAAGAGGACGCATCACCGGCAGAGGATCAATAAATATTTGCTGCAACGGGGAGAGTTGAACTTAAGCCAAAATGGATTAAAGTCGGTAGCATCATAACCCAGGGCGGAAGCCTGGTAGAGGTTACCAGATTGGAGAATTGGAGTCTCAAAAAGAGCGACAGAGGATAGAATGACAGATAAGATGGACCGACATAATGTTGCAGTTCAATACACAGAGTTTGCCCTATGGGCTTTCATAATTGCATGAGAAGAAGGAAAGAAGTACCCGTGAGTTTTATATTTTAATGTTTGTCTGTGAGCAAAAATGATATTGAGTGGGAAACATATGGCTTCTGAAAGTTGGACGGCATTATCTCCTCAAGGGACGGCGTAAGCCATATACCACCTGAAAGACGGTGATCGAATTCACCTAGTTTCCTTGTTTAACGCTGAAAAGTGGCTGGAATATTGAAGCGATACGGCCTTGACAAATTGTGAGGCATGATTTCGCTGCGTGAGACTCAAGTCCAAAAACAGCTTTTTCATGGCGTTCGACGCAGAAAGAAGCTTCTCTGAGGAAAAACCGGTCACAACTCAGCAACTCAATCCGTGTACAGATGTTGCTCTTATTGAGGTTACTTTACTAAACATGGTAAAAATCAAAGATGGTCTAAAGATGTCAGTGTCTAAGCTGAATACTGTCAAATCGACGGTACATGGAGCAAACCGTGGTTGAGATCTAAAACCACTAGGGCGTATGTGCGACAGATGGGAATCGAATGCACGTTAAGATACAATGTTAAGGAACGCTTACACATGTCCGTTTTCTCCATTTGCTGCATAAATCGTCTGCTCTGCGATGGTTTCAATATAATGCGCGGGATATATGGCCTGATTATTCGACTGCAGCGCGTTGAGTTCCGTTGTACCCGTGGCTGGACGACTGGTACTAGTAGCTGGATGGAAAGATGTTAGGGGTAATATTAAACGAACCAAGCTTCCCAACTAGAACGTGTTGACCGTTCTGCTGTATGATGGTTGGAGTGGTCCCGTGACCTTTGGGAGAGACTTGAACCACCGTAGCAGTCGGCCCGGAGGCAGACTGCATATCTCCAAAAGCCAAACGTAGACCCAAACGACCTGGAAAGGGTAGAAATCAGTCACAAAGCCAACAACCAGAGTATAAATCCTGCCGCAGAAGCAAATGAAACTAGCTTGGTAAACTAACTACGACTACACTCTTCTGTATTCAGGGCCAAGATGAGCACGTGATGTCAGTATACTGGCCCCCACCTCTGATGCAAACTCAGCCGAGAAAACAACTCTTCGAAGAACGGGCTCACTAGAGAAAGAAACAACCAAATACATGTGTTATTTAGTTCTGCTGAGCCATGACTCTCGTGATAAGCCGACTCTGCCATATCAAGGGAAGGAGGCACGAAGGCTGGGATACGGCCACTTTGACGAAGCCTAGACAAGAGAAATCGAGAGGCTGAAGCTGGATTCGAACCACAGCTAACCACTGAGCTAACTTTAGCGCCAAACTGCAACAAGTGGGACACTGATTCGGAGAAAGACGCAACTAACAACGTCTAAGCATTGGATTGCGAGCAGTATAATAGAACTGCTTGCCGATCAGGGACGTATTCCACATCAGGGGTTCAACACAACTCAATGAACATCACCAAAACCGACGTCCTGAGTTGCAAAAGCCATGTACGTTTCACAGTGGCCATAGCGACCACAGTTCCGCTTGCCGACGATCTGAGTATATACCGATAATAACTACGCATTGGAGGCAGTAGCTTATTAGACTGAGGCGTGAGTCCAGAAGCGTCAGTGGATTTTTCATGGAGGATATCGGAAGGGAAAGCTATCCACTGAAGTCAACAGCTTGGACGCACGCGGGCCATTGGGTGCGCGACAGGTCATCTCAGTCTATGTCTATAGCCATTGGCGTGTCCATCTCGAGATCCTTATCCAGGGCTAAGGCAATGGTCAGCGCAGCTCAGTTTGCCTGTAATTGCTTCCACACTTTGTTACCAGGTCTACCCATTCTGGTTCTTTCTGCTGTCCGAATGGCGGTACGAAAAAGGGTTACAAGGGGGTCGTTCAACCGACATGTGTAGCACGTGACCAAGCCAGCACAGCCTATGCAGTGAGCAGTTGACCTATCGTGGACAAGTCATTTCTTCCGAAAACCATTCGACCTACTTCAGCCTTGCCCATCCAATATTCCCACAAGACTAGGGTAGTGCTCCTACGGCAACATCCACAGCGCGCAGCGGCCAGCTTTCTGACTGCAGCATCGCCAGCTTGAGCACTTGACACATAAACAGACATCACGTCTGTGCCACAGGGGTTTTCGCTTTTCCGATCCGAATGGAAAATGGCTAGGTCAACGAGAGTGGTATGGTCGCCCAGATGCAAAAAAATCATCTATTGCCTCAACCGTGTCATCAAGCATGAGGTCCAGCTTTGACCTCACCCAGTCCCGTAGTAGCTCTCTGCATTACACAGGTGATCCTTATCAGAGGCAGCAACATCAGTGTAGATAGTGCTGCTTCACTGCCTGACAAGCATAAGGTTCACCTCATTATATTTTAAGTCTTAGACTGCAGAGAAAAGGGTTGGGGGGAGGAGACCTATTGCTGACCTTTGTCAGGCATTCCCAGGTACCTACACCTCCAAGCGCTCAATGAGACGATCTGGAAAGAAATTGACAGCACGAACGTCAGTGACATCGATCAGCTGTCATTTGTTGCAATACATACAGCCAAGCATAAAGGGGGGCCTCGGGGACCCCATTATGGAAGGTATACATTACCAACAAAACTCAAAATCCTCGTTATCTCTTTCACAACCTTCTGCTAAGTCATACGTTGTCCAACTCACAGAGCTTGGAGAAAAACATTGCCGATCAGGGACGTATTCCACATCAGGGGTTCAACACAACTCAATGAACATCACCAAAACCGACGTCCTGAGTTGCAAAAGCCATGTACGTTTCACAGTGGCCATAGCGACCACAGTTCCGCTTGCCGACGATCTGAGTATATACCGATAATAACTACGCATTGGAGGCAGTAGCTTATTAGACTGAGGCGTGAGTCCAGAAGCGTCAGTGGATTTTTCATGGAGGATATCGGAAGGGAAAGCTATCCACTGAAGTCAACAGCTTGGACGCACGCGGGCCATTGGGTGCGCGACAGGTCATCTCAGTCTATGTCTATAGCCATTGGCGTGTCCATCTCGAGATCCTTATCCAGGGCTAAGGCAATGGTCAGCGCAGCTCAGTTTGCCTGTAATTGCTTCCACACTTTGTTACCAGGTCTACCCATTCTGGTTCTTTCTGCTGTCCGAATGGCGGTACGAAAAAGGGTTACAAGGGGGTCGTTCAACCGACATGTGTAGCACGTGACCAAGCCAGCACAGCCTATGCAGTGAGCAGTTGACCTATCGTGGACAAGTCATTTCTTCCGAAAACCATTCGACCTACTTCAGCCTTGCCCATCCAATATTCCCACAAGACTAGGGTAGTGCTCCTACGGCAACATCCACAGCGCGCAGCGGCCAGCTTTCTGACTGCAGCATCGCCAGCTTGAGCACTTGACACATAAACAGACATCACGTCTGTGCCACAGGGGTTTTCGCTTTTCCGATCCGAATGGAAAATGGCTAGGTCAACGAGAGTGGTATGGTCGCCCAGATGCAAAAAAATCATCTATTGCCTCAACCGTGTCATCAAGCATGAGGTCCAGCTTTGACCTCACCCAGTCCCGTAGTAGCTCTCTGCATTACACAGGTGATCCTTATCAGAGGCAGCAACATCAGTGTAGATAGTGCTGCTTCACTGCCTGACAAGCATAAGGTTCACCTCATTATATTTTAAGTCTTAGACTGCAGAGAAAAGGGTTGGGGGGAGGAGACCTATTGCTGACCTTTGTCAGGCATTCCCAGGTACCTACACCTCCAAGCGCTCAATGAGACGATCTGGAAAGAAATTGACAGCACGAACGTCAGTGACATCGATCAGCTGTCATTTGTTGCAATACATACAGCCAAGCATAAAGGGGGGCCTCGGGGACCCCATTATGGAAGGTATACATTACCAACAAAACTCAAAATCCTCGTTATCTCTTTCACAACCTTCTGCTAAGTCATACGTTGTCCAACTCACAGAGCTTGGAGAAAAACACGTCTCGGTATATGGTGTTTCGGCATGCGTAGAACATGGTCGAGCCATCTTAGCCGATGGTGCTGGATGTTTTCCGCGATTGAAGTACCTGCTGCACACACAAATACCCATCTTCTAATTACCTCGTTAAGAGTTCGTTGATGGCGTTAGACACCGCCAACTCTTATGCGCTGCATTCAAAAGCCGATCTGAGCAACTGGTCAGAAGAAAATAAGTATAAGCGAAAAAGAGGAACGGTAATTAACTCCTTCAAATTTCGTTTGGAGCGATGTGCTGAGCACTTCTGAGAACAGTTCAGCTGATCTCCCTAAGCACAACAACTGGAAGAACAGAAACCCGACGTGATATCAATCCTCGAGCTCGACAAGGCACATCGCGCGGATGGCCCACGGCCCGCACTCTTCAGAGGTGGGTGAAATGAAGATAATGACAACCACACTGCAGACGATTTGGAACAAAAACATAATAACAACCGCATAGAGCACTCCGATTGTCATCCGTCTTCAAAAACTGCGCAAGAATGTCTTTCGAAAAACACCGTGGCATCGACCTGGTATCCGTCGTATCCAAGGTTCTCTCCGGCATTATTTTGAAGAGGATGATCAATTATGGGTGGAAGGAGATCCGTGAGAGTCAAGCTGAGTTTCGCCCTAGCCGAGTATGCATCGACCATATCTTTACCTTGAGACAAAATCTTGAATAGTGCCACTCCTTTAGAGGTCTTACGTTGGTTGCTTATCTTGATACGAAGGCTGTTTTCTACTCTGCCGACCATTAAAAACTTTGCCAGTGTCTGGTGATCAAAGGTGCCCCTGCCAAATTTATATCCCTTATGAGGGCACTGTACGTGAACTACCGTGGGCACGTGAGAGTATAGTGAAAAATCGTTCATCTGTAACACCCTTCCGGTGCTTAGCTACCAAGCCACACGAAGGAAGTACGAGGGCTGAGATACTGTCAGGATGCCCAATCCTAAACAGGGAAAGTCGAGATGCATATGTCGTGTTCGAACCACGGACCTTCCGGTCAGTACATTCCGCTCTAACCTGAGAGTCAAGCTGAGTTTCGCCCTAGCCGAGTATGCATCGACCATATCTTTACCTTGAGACAAAATCTTGAATAGTGCCACTCCTTTAGAGGTCTTACGTTGGTTGCTTATCTTGATACGAAGGCTGTTTTCTACTCTGCCGACCATTAAAAACTTTGCCAGTGTCTGGTGATCAAAGGTGCCCCTGCCAAATTTATATCCCTTATGAGGGCACTGTACGTGAACTACCGTGGGCACGTGAGAGTATAGTGAAAAATCGTTCATCTGTAACACCCTTCCGGTGCTTAGCTACCAAGCCACACGAAGGAAGTACGAGGGCTGAGATACTGTCAGGATGCCCAATCCTAAACAGGGAAAGTCGAGATGCATATGTCGTGTTCGAACCACGGACCTTCCGGTCAGTACATTCGCGCTCTAACCACTCAAGCCATCGCACCCCCGAGAATACAGTGCTATCCCCTGAGATCCTCACGTCCAATGGTGTTGAACAAGGTTGCCCTATTTCAAGTTTGCCCTCCAACTTTGTTACTGACGTACTGCTTGAAATTTCTCTGCCTGTCTGTGAAACCCTGGGGACTGATACACTCTCGGGACGTTCGTTCACAGACATTTAGTATGCGGACGATATCGCTCTCCTTGGTTCAGATCCTTCAGAAAAGCAAACCATTTTAAACAATTAAATAACTCTGTCATATGGTTTGGCGTGCACTTTATACATCCAAATGTAAAGTGCTGCTTACAGATTGGGTGGGGTCAAACCCACACCTCACGCTTGTAAGCGAGCCGATCGACGTGGTTAATTTATTTACCTAGACAGTTGTAAAAGTTCCGGTGCTGGCTGAAGTTGAGATCGAGATTACTTCTTGATTCTGGAAGGCCAGGGCAGCGCCTGTCAACCTCCAACACCTAAGATGCCGATGTGACATCAGTCTGTCCGTCAAAAGCGGAGTTTGTACGGCAGTCCACGGTGCAGTCCATACTGCTTTGTGGGTCAGAGGCCTGACCACTACGCGCAGAGGACGTACAGATGTTAGTGTTTGGCCATCAGTGCCTCTGCACAACTGGTCGTGTCTGGTGGCAACACCGGATCAGTAATGCTGAGGTACGCTAGATGGTCCTAGGAAGAAGAAACTCTCCCGCGGTAGGTGAATCACTCAAGCGTCCATAGGCTACGCTGGTTAGGACATGTACTCCGTAAGTCAGAAGACCGCCTACATCGCGGAGCTCCTATCACCCAGCCCTGTATCGAGGAGAAGCGACCGAGAGGTGGACAGTGTATGACCTGGAAACGACGTATGAAATCGCTAACCAGTGAAATGAATCGGGTCGATAACTACCGCCTCCCTAATTAAGGACTCCAATGGCTCTCAGTAGCACTCGTGCATCAAAGCGATCGCCTTCAAGGCGCAAGCGCCCATTTCCCGAGCTAGCTGAACATCACCCCCAAGACTTGGTTGTATGTCCCATACTCTCCCACTTCCTGATCATCGAAACTGTAGCATATGGAACCAATTTGCCTATGGTAAAGGGTTTATAAATTGTAAATTAAAGTGAATTGTTGCAGTACCACAAAAACTAACGGCCGAACAAAACGATCCACCAATGGTTTTCAGTAATCCTGAAAGCTGACCCAGCAGCTCGATGAGGTCTCAAAGTGGAACGGCATGAACAGTATTCTATAGTTCTATTCTACAGTATTCTATTCTAGACTACTAGATCATGGCTTGCTTCGGGTGGGCTTATTGACAGATATAGGTACATGGTCAGAGGACCAAGCAAACAGCTGTTGGGAGTAGCGAAATATACTCATTTGCATAATAGTTTGACTTTCCAAATGGGGGTGGCGAGACCTAACTGCATCGCTCGTTTAGGTTCTGTTGAGTGTTCTCAGTGCTGGCCACAGTACATATTAGATATGCAAATCAATAAAAGTTTCCATTGGGCCCTATATTGCGGATTAATTGAAACGGTTCCGTACATTTCCGACTGCACTGCCCCCTCCAAATCTTGAAATTTTTGGTTACACCATACCTATGTCCATACACGGGCCTCGGTTCAACTAGATTCTGACCTACCCCATTTGAAAAAGCGCCTCACATCAAGCAGTGAATCAGAACCAGGACGTAATGCATTGTACAATAAGCTTCAACTTGTGGTTCACGAATTTACCTATTGCTAGGCACGATCATTGTTTCTGAGGCATACCGGAGAAACCAGGTTGAAACCTACATCCAACGAGAGCATCATCTGAGTCATCGGGTGCATCGAGAACAATAGGCAGTCAAGACCTTAGGTCTGTATGGCTACGTCACCCACTCGATTAGTCACCCAGTGGTATGAGATTGGTTTCGCAACGACGTCCACGGTGACTACATCCAAGACTGCTGAAGAAAATTGGCGAAAAAACCCGTCACTACTGTCACACTTTGCAAAGTAAATGTACCAACATATCACTGACAAGCTGAGTTCCAACGTGTACGTTAAAATCTCAACTAGTGCGGTTGCATCTGAACTTCGTGGGATAAACACACAGTAAGATAGAAGGGGACGAGTTGGACCAAGTGGTTAGAGCGCGGATTTACTGACCGGAAGGTCCGTGGTTCGAACCCGACCTCTGCCTCTCGACTTCCTCTGTCTAGGCTTGGGCGAGTTGGCAGTATCCTAGCTC